CGACTAACACAGTATATCTTCTAAGTAAACTTTATTACTGTTGAATTATTCGAGGTGGCTCCCAGTAGAATTACTTCGGTAGATAATCTCCGTTTGCCTAAAGAAACGGGTACTACGTCTTGACACCTGAGAAGACAGACCAAAATCAGCTCTTAATGAAGAAGAGATCTTCACTTATATTGGTAGCCGAGGATGTAAACAAGTCATGCTCTATCAATCTATTTCTGACAGAAACAATAACATAAAATTCCACAACTGCGGATTACACGAAAATACAATACCAAACCTTTTTTATGTGTGTCCACCTTCAATAGAACAAGACAATGTACTAATTAAAGTGACCTTGTCCGTCCATTGAACAAGATAAGCTACTCATAACAAGGTAGCCGAAATACCTCAGGTGTGTATTCTACTGGGACCAACCTTTTTACAATCAAAATAATTAGTAAATAAATAAATAAAGTATGCATAAACATATACAAATAAATAGGAATAATATTAGACATTAACATCTCAATATATGTAGAACTTTCCTACAATTTTATTTCAATAATTCGCTTGCGCGTAGGGGTCTTTAGCAGTGGGAGGAAACCGGAGGACCCGGAGAAAACCCACGAGGTTGGACAGGCGACCCTACTCCTTGTCACGTACAACCGGGGATTCGAAACCACGCCAGTTGACTCAATGACAGGCTTTATGATACAGCACGCGCGTGCTAACCATTCGGCCATCCAACTCCCCCACTATAAAATAAACACGTTGATTATAACTTGATACATCCTAAGAATCAAATTAAAGGATAAAAATAGTTATAATGTATGATTTTATTGAAACTAGTTCAAGAGAACTGATTAATATTGTAAACTTTACATAAACAGTACGTTAGTCGACAGAAAATTTCTGAAAACGTGGAACTTTTCTGGTAAAAATAAATACTTACCCACATCTTGGCAGACACATGATTTAAAATGATCACGGCTAACACGATTCCGCGCGGATCAATCCGTTTAATTTAATGTAAAACCTTTGGCTTTTGGTAAATGGGAACAAGAATTAGAAATCGAAATAATTGAACGATCTTTAATCTTGCACTCTAGAATTCCAATATCAATATACATGTAGTTATAAAAAAAACATATACAGACGCGATACTATGTAAATTAAAATTAACCCAATCCACCCTCTGAACGAAAAAAAGCTGTAGCGAAATGCTAAAAATTATCCTTACACGTAATTTTAATATAACATTAAGCCATAATAAATCCATTTCGGGTATTCAGAAGTAACATTCTTCAATTATACGAATGAGATTTTACTATATATTTAGATCTAAATTAGAACACATTAAGTCTCAATATTTCAATAACTATATACCCTTAATAAATATAAATAAATGGAGACCTCAGTTGCATACCTTTACCATTTAATTACTATATGTAAGAATAGAGCTTTATAAGACCGTTAATTCACCACACATTAAACCTGCATAAGGTGGTAGCTATAATCCCCCAATCCAATCCCCTAATTAAATATACTCTCCACCCCATTCATTCAAGAATGATAACATAGCAAAACGGTGTTCAGGGCTGATCACTTAAATTATCAAACGATCTTCTTCAAAGCAGTAACTGAGAAAGGCGTTATTTTAATATATAATTAAATATTTTTCTCTTGTATAATTTATTTTCCAAATACAAATCATTAATACCCATCTTAGCATGACAGTATGTATCAAAGTAATCACATATTTGTGGTTATATTGAAATTTGTAAAATACGTATTCTTTTTTAATATATTTTAAAAAAAATAACTTAAATACAACAGAAGAAACCAGTTCAGTAGGCTTTGCGACTTGGAATTTGCTGCATTTGAAAAAAAAACTTTGATGAGTGACACTAGTTATACTTTCATTGATTAGTAGGGCGTCCAATCCCAACATGTTTTAAATTGTAGATTTTGATTTTATTTTTTACTTTGTTCATTCATGTAAAATCTTTATTACAATTTTATAATAAAATGTATAAAACACTGACTTCGGGTTTGACTAGCAAATGCCACTGAATTTATGGACAGTACGAAGGTTGATATTGTATAGTTCACAAGCAGTATTATAATACAGATATTTGACAAGAAGCTAATACAAATAGGGCCTATATGTAACTTAATATCCTATAAAAGTTTAAAATAGTGTACCTTAATCGAATTGTTTACTGTCTTCGTTACATGGATTCAAATCACAAATCCGCCCAGACTAGAATACAAATTATCCACTTTCCATTCAATAAATGTTCCAGTCATCTATTTTTTGATTTCGGAAAATTAATTCTCTTGTTCCAATAAATCCACTTCCAACACACCCCACCCTTTATATAGCCGACCCCTACACTTCCACGATATCATAAAACCGGCATTGTTATTCATTGTTGTGTGAACCACGGGGAACACACAATTTTTCCTACAACCAGGGGCGTAACCCCCCCCCCCCCCCCAGGAAAAAGAATTGTCGGTCGCAAAATCAGTGCAGTCGCAAAAAAAGAGCAGTCGGTATCAAAATAAGTGCCCACTGCACACGTCACGCTACTCACGCAAAACTTTAGTATTAAATAACCTTGTCAACTTATCATGTTTGAAAAAATGATGTGTTTCACTCTTATTCTGTTGTGAGTATGTAGGTCTAAGAACAAAATTTCCTCCAGGGAGAAAAATAGTCGGTCTCAAAATAAGTGCAGTCACTGCAGTCGGTCTCAAAATTATGCATCGCTGTCATAGTGAATTAATGAGGTAAACAAATAATGCCAGAATAGATCCCAAATACTAGTCGGTCGCAAAATCAGTGCAGTCGGTCGTAAGATATGAGCAGATGGTATCAAAATAAGTGCTCGCTGCACACGTCACTCTACTCACGCAAAACTTTAGTATAAAATAACCTTGTCGACTTATCCTGTTTGAAAAAAATGTTTTTCACCCCATGGCAAAAAAATAGTCGGTCTCAAAAAAAAGTGCTCACCGCAGTCAGTCTCAGACTAAATGAATTTATGGGGAGTTTTCTGACCATCATAATTCTGCAAAATCTCTCCCCAAAGTCCAGGGCATTTCAGAGACCAAGTAAGCGCCCCATTAAAGTGCCCTCAGACCCAGTCCTCAAAAATTAAAAGCTCAGTTACATATCGGCGCTCAATTCCACTATGCCATCATTCTTCAACCCCTTCTCTGTCTTATACTATCTCATCACTATCATATTCACAGTTAAAGTGAATCGTCCAGTTAGTAGTACAACTAGTGAGTGAGTCGTTGGTCAAAAGACTGTAGAATTGTTAGTTCTACTCTCACAAAACAGGCGACATTGACAGATAGGCCTCAAGATTCTGTCTCATTTCTTATCCTCTTGTTAACGAGAATTTGGATCCATTTGCCATGACATTGACTGAAATTGTCAGGCCCAGTCCCAAAAATCAAAAGCTCGGTTACACATCTGAAATTTTTTCGCGCCTGCGGCGCTCGATTCCATTATAACATCATTTTTCCACTCCTCTGTTGTCTTATACTGTCTCAGCAATATCTTATTCACGGTTATACTGAACTGCCTAGTTATGTTAGTAGTACCACTGTCAACTCTTGCAAAACAGGCGGAATTGACAGGGGTAGATCTCGAGATTTTGTCTAATTGACTCACATGTCTGGTCCTCTCGTCCAGAAGAATTTCTCCCAGCAATGACCTTAAATGCCAAGATATTGACTCAATTTTTCATAATGTTCTCAGGTTGCTCAGTGTTATATGCACAATCATATATGACATAAACTTTATGTCAACTTAAATAAAACTGCTTTCCAGCGAGACAACGATCGGCAAACAACTATATAATTATACAATACTATCTATGTTCTATCAGGACGCTTAATGTTATAGCCAGTATTTTGTTGACATTCATTGTGGGGTGGGATTGTGGCTGGGGTGGCGCCTTAGATTTGCCCCCACCCCCCCCCACCCCTATCTACATCCGCTACTTCACATGGCCCCTACAAAACTCGCACCTATGGTGCTCGGCTCCTGACTGCGTCACTCGTACTAGAATAGAATTCCAGTAAAGTAAATCATATTAATGAATCATATCATTCCCAATAAATAATCTAATTTGTAGATCTGTCATTGGTCACGTGATGGTCGGAACATTATTTGTGTGGCTCTTTTTTTGGTGATAGCAAATACCGCTAATAATTATCTTGAAAAAAAGACTACGTTTAGTAAACTATGCATTTTCACCTAGCCTCGTTCTGGACAAAATACCACGCTCCAAAAACATGGCAATTTAAAAAAAAAACTACGTTTCGGGACTCGAGACAAACGTGGCAATTGTTTTGCCACTTACAACGTGGCAAAATCGTAGCAGAAATTTTACCACGCTTTTGTTACATTTGGACAAAAATGCCAAACGAGGCATTCTGAGGTTTATAGTGGTATATTTTGTTTCATTTTGAAAGATTGTGTTTCGTTGTTTTGGGTTCGTTTCGCACGCCACGTGTACTCGATCGTCTATGTAAAACGTTATATATTCTACACGTATTTTACTCGTAACTTCAGTTTTCTTGAAGAAAATCACTGTCTGGCAAGTTAAAATTTGTACCGGATCTTAAAATAGCAATTAGCGCTTGGTCGGTTAGTAAAACAAATAACTCAACATTAGATTGTACGCAATATCTGTTACAACTTTATCAACCTATTCCTGATATATAAATGCTTTTATTTTCAACTTACGAGTCCAAATATTTTAAGGGGTTTGAACTAAATACCCCACCCTTAACTAGCCGGGTGTTCGGATTTTAAATCAAAAAAAGGGGTGGAGGTGGGGGTCAAGGCTAATTTGAAATATAATATTATATGAAATTAATTCCATATATATATATGTTCTTGATGACAGCGATAGCGCCTCTTGAACCGTTGAAATCTACTTTATCTGATAATTCAACCAAATATTTGTCTTATTTTTTATTTTTAATTTCAGAAAGCTGTGATAATCTTAGTTTATATTGTAGTTGTTACCTTGCCAACAATCGTTTCTCCTGACGATGTGGGTCTTCTCTGGAAGTGCCCAAAATGTCTTGAAAAGGGTGTTTTATCGCCCATAGGGCCGTGGTGTCTTCGTTGTATGTGTGATCAGGAATGTCTGTTTTACGGAGACTGTTGTGTTGATATAAAGGTTAACAACGGCCTTCACACACAGGAAATACAGTCGGAATTCACGTGCATCGCAACACCCAACGATTCAAAATTTCGATTTAAAGACCTATCAAACGGTGATGGTTTCTATATGGTCGCTAACTATAAACGCCATGATGGGTTTATAGAAAACTGTGACTCTACTGTCCTACCTGTTTCTTGTCCCAAAACTGGCAAAACATACATCAACAATCGATGTGCATTTCTTAACAAAGAAACTTCATGTTCAAATTGGAAAATTCGAGGCGAATGTAAATACAATAAAAACAGGGTTGCTGTCTGCGAGGATTACATTGTTCCACCAAAATTTGCAGAGTTGAGATATTGTGATATTCGGAGATCGGAACCAATAATTTCTCAGTGCGATCCGGAATTCCCAACATCATACCAAGAATATTCTGACAGTTGTGCCAAATACTTTGTCCTCTTCCAGGACCCAGAAAACAATAAAGTTTACAGGAACATTTATTGCGCTTTGTGCAACGGTTTTTTTCGACCCGGAGGGCGGCCTGTTAGGCCAACAGGGTACCCTGTGAAAACTCTAGTTGGTTTCACGGATCAGTTTGACAAATCGGTGAAATCATGCGACGGAAGGATTTCTTGGATGGATATTGGAGCGGTAAGTATCTTAATAGTATTACACTGTACCTATGATCGTATAATAGTGAGTTGACAACCTACTGAGCAAAAGACATAGAAATAATTATGTTTTGACTTTCTTAGAAAATATGAAATTCTCGCTTTAACCACGACAATGTCACATTGATAGTTTGATATGAGAGATAAACATGACACCGTAACGTTGATAGTATGATATGAGAATCAAACACGACAATTTAAAGACCTATCAAACGGTGATGGTTTCTATATGGTTCCTAACTATAAACGCCATGATGCGTTTATAGAAAACTGTGACTCTACGGTCCTACCTGTGTCTTGTCCCCAAACTGGCAAAACATACATCAACAATCAATGTGCATTTCTTATCAAAGAAACTTCATGTTCAAATTGGAAAATTAGAGGCAAATGTAAATACAATAGGAAGAGGGTTGCTGTCTGCGAGGATTACATGTCACATTGATAGTATGATATGAGAGTTAACCACGACAATGTCACATTGATAGGTTGATATGAGAGTTAAACACGACAATGTCTCATTGATAGTTTGATATGAGAGTTAACCACGACAATGTCACATTGATAGTTTGATATAAGAGTTAAACACGATAATGTCACATTGATAGTATGATATAAGAGTTAACCACGACACTGTCACATGCAATCAAATCATAAGAATGATTGACATCTCGTAACCTATACTTCATAATTCAAAATTATTACAAATTCATAAAGATGGCGACTTCAAATAAATTTATAAAAAAAGAAATCATTGAGTGCCTATAAATTTTATGCGCAGGGTCAAGGTTAAGCCCGACGCTGTTTCGCCTAATAATGTATGGTATGATTATGTCACATGCGACCTTGAGACTGAGGTAGAGGTTTATATAGATAGCACAGCAAGTGATGGTTATTCCTATGGGTACTAATTGTGCCACAATACCTTTAAATTTAATTCAATCGTCTTTGAGTGTCTGGTTAAATTCACGGTCCCTTTAAGATAAAAACAACAATGCACTTATGCTTAACTTGATTTGTGATCACTTTTTAGAACTTGTACGTAAAATACTTACGATTATATTGTTAATTAACTGCATGTGCATTTATTGTTCTATTTGTTTTATTTTAGAATAAATGTCGACCCATTCAGTGTTACTCCAATAAGGTACTACGAGGTGGAAAGTGTGAGTATGATAATATGACAGCATTGGGTAATACCTATCAAATGATGATTAATTTAGAGATAAAAACCAGAGCTCGGGTTCCGTTCTTTAAACAAATGATAGGAAACATGATGGCATCAATATCGTTACTGATATACTCTACTGATTATACAGTCACTACGTCTAAACCAGTGTTGATCGGGGGATCTTCCTATGTCTACATGAATGTTTGGTTTATCGTGAACACCGACATCACATTAAAGGACTTTGAAACTAATATCTCCAGTAGTGGTACTGAATACTTCGGGGCTTCAGCTTTAACACTTTATCATACAATAAATTATACATACGTATCTCACTCACAGTCTATTATGCGACATTTTGTCTCCAACATAACCACAAAGTTGTGTTGTTCCGAAAAGCCTGTTTCAGAGGTCGGAGAAATAAAAGCCACCAAATACAACTATGAACCAATTAGTCACCAGATGTCCTGTTCATTTATTGAATTTTATAACAAAGAGTTTGATGTCGATAATGCATTGGCATCTGTTGAACATCTCAATCTTACCTTATCTGATGACGACGAGTTTTCTGTGTTTCAGCATGACCTTCGAGTATGTTTTCAAACGTTTCTTAATAAAAAAAACTTTACGTTCAGTAACGAAACCATAGAGTACTATGACACCCACACAAAGTTTGATTGGATTCTCTGGTATTTAACTATTGTTTTGATGACTCTCTCTTTGATATCTATATGTATAGCTTTAATAACATATGGTATGTTCCCAGAAATGAGAACACAGCCAGGCATCAACAACATAGGGTTAATGCTTAATCTTTTTCTTGCTCAGTTAACTTTAATTACGGGTCTGGATCAGACACAAAATAAAATATTGTGTAGAAGTATTGGAATAAGCATCCATTACCTCTGGCTTGGTATGACACTATGGATGAATGTGTGTACCTTTCACATGTTCAAGGTATTTGTTTTACAGAAACTGGTAAGAAATTCTGCCCAATCTCACGGTATTCAGACACTGAAATACATTGCTTATGCCAATGGGTTACCAATGATACTGATAGTTTGTATAATTATTACAAATGTCACGTTGTCAGGGGGAATGGAGATAGGTTATGGGGGTGATGTGTGTTATCTATCCTCTAAACAACTGGTTGGCTATAGTTTTGTTCTACCCTTATGTTTCGTCATTGTCCTAAATATTGTTTTCTTTTTGTGGACAATTATTTCCATCTCTCGCGTTAAACAACAAGGAAAACAATCTGGAGAACGAAACAATATTGTAATTTATATAAAGCTTTCTGTTCTGACCGGTCTGTTTTGGTTGCTCGCTGTTTTATCAAATTTTATTACCAGTTGGGCTTTAGAATATCTGTCTGTAATTTTTAATGCATCCCAAGGAGTCTTCATTCTGTGGTCCTTTATATTAAAAACATCTGTGCTTTCTAAATGGAAGCAAAGACTATGTAGTGAAGCTGAATCTGGCTCCATTGAACAAGCGACAAAATCTAGCCAACTTAAGTCAGTGTAGACCCAGCTTGTAGTTTAGTCAGGGTTTTCAGCCATCGTTAACATACTTAAAGCTTTGACATACTTAAAGCTCTGACGTTAAACACCCAATACAATACGACGTACCCATAGCGGCTACATTTTGGTCTGGCTGGTTGTAGACAGAACATTAACTTATATATACATGATCATATGTTGGGACATTCAACGTTCAACACAATACCTAGAGGACTTCAGATGTTGATATAGTCATCATCTTTAGGTTCCAGTATAGATCACTGGAATTATTATATATAACTTGTCTCCAATAAATACAAGTGCTTGTTTAACAATACAACTTCATAAGCATGTTTAATAAATAAACCATAAGGTTTGACATTTAGAAATAAATTGTAATAACACCCTTAAGATTTTATTATATATGTAACTGTTTTATCAATTTAATTACTTGTAATTATTATCCTTAAGGGGCATGTTTTAACGATATACTTGTGATATAAAACTAGTATAGCTGGTATGAATAGAAGAACTATGTTGTGGTATGGACAGAATAGTAACAACAATTGTGAGTATGCTAATCTTTTTCCTATTGCCAATTTCTTTACTTGTAATTATATATTGTCTATATATTATATATAGTCTATATATTATATATAGTCTATATATTATATATAGTCTATATATTATATAATGTCTATTATACATTGCCAATTATACATTGTCTATTATATATTGTCAATTCCATTACTTGTAATTATATATTGTCTATATATTATATAATGTCTATCTATTATATATTTTCTATTATATATTGTCTATTATATATTGTCTATTATATATTGTCTATATATTACATTATGTCTAGATATAGTGTTGTTAATTTTAATAAACTTTAATGTAAATTACTAATGATTTCTGATTATACTCCCTTTTTCTTCTTCTATTAGTTTTTAACGTCCACTTCCACCGAGTGTAATATCGCAGACAAATTGTCTTATTTTTATTCTGTTACCGCATGCGCAGTGGATCTTTCCTGTAGGAGGAACCCTGAGTACTCTCAACGAGGTTGAGAAGACGTCCCTATCTCCAAACCACATACGCTCACACCAGGGATCGAAACCACAACCAGCTAGAACTCGAAGCGTGACACTCTAGACCACTAGGCCACCCCAATGCCCGCGCACTGGTCTCTTTTAAACCCGTGATTTCGGGAATGCGCAATTTATTTAGTTAATTTGTTAAAAGGTGCCAGAAATGGCACCGATACCTTATTTGGAGAGTCTGACCAACCAATATTTCCTTATATAGAGATGGATATTCACATTTACTTGTAACTTAGCTGGAGTTATTTCCTAATATGGTCAGCTAGAGAGAAAGTGGGGGGGAGGGGTAACAACCACTCGACACAAATCAGGTCACTTGGGAACAAACACATGGTTCAATTTTATTTCAATAATTCGCTCGAGCGTAGGGACCTTTAGCAGTGGGATGACCCGGAGTAAGCCCACGGGTTTAGACAGACGACCCTACTCCTTGTCACGAACAACCGGGGAATCGAAACCGCGCCAGTTGACTCAATGATACAGCGCGCACTTGCTAACCATTCGCCCCACCCCCTTCCCTTTGTTCCTTGATAAACACATTAATGAATGTATTATTATTTCTATCTCAATTATAGAAGCAGCCTTATTGTGATCCAACGATTGTGACTGGCTGCCCGAAAGACTTCTAATCCTAAGCGAAAAATGCTCATTGTCGATTTCAGTAACCGCATGCGCCCATTAAACATCTACTGCAAGTTTCAACTCCCCAATCATTAATAAAACGTCCTACTGTTCTGTGAATAAATGTCTAAATAGTTTATATAATATTTGAAGCTGAAAAAAGACTTACATTAGGCAGATTGATTCTTTCATAATGTATCTATTTCTATTTAACTTATAGTACCATATTGCTTCCCAATGTCCGCCCATCGTCAATAACGTGCCCACTTTCTTCGCAGCCTCATGCACGCTCCTAAACGCCATCCATATGCTAACCAATCTGGTTAAAATACAGATCTATATTTCGTTTCGTTTTTTTATATTTTCGATTGCCTTTGCTATATGAAGATCTGACCAGTTGTAGTTGGAGGTCTTGCCAGGGGTCATACGAGCGGCTTTTTTCCCTATGACGTCAGACATTGATTGGTCAATCAGCGTTGGCCTTTATAGTGGTTTACCGCAGCGATACGTTTCAAGTCAATCAAAACAATGAGCTGCCATACTGAATACTCATCTTAATCTGTTCAATTTACTCATCGCTTCAATTAAAGCCGCTACTTAATCACCCGCTCAATAACTCACAAACATATCACTCATGTGTTTAATTAGAATCAGGGCTTGCCCAAACTAATTTTGATTGGCTTATCTCTTCTTGATGGGTACAAATAGGCTAGAAAGTTTCAATTAAGTTAGACTATCATCGCTTGATAAAGGATACCACTCCGAAATGTGCATCGCGATATAATCGAGGAACGACCCATCTATATTATATGTAAGATTCTTTTTCTCTCTTTATATTTTTATGTATTTTTATTTTTATATCTTTTAATAGTTTTAAATTGAACAATTGACATTACACAATATACTATACTGTGTAATTAATAAACCTCAAAGTTCAAACGATTTCCCTTTGTTTCATACGTGTTATATTTCTAGTTTCATTCCGTTACGTTACCAGTACATATTGTGAAATCAGTACACGCTTGAGCACGAGCTCTTCTACCAATCTACTCACATACGTCGAATATCTAACATTGTCTCTCTGCTAATTTACTTTTTGTCTCGCATTTTCCATTTCTTAGAACAAATACCACAGTAAACAAATACTGCACAACATTCTATATAGATACATTTTATCCCCCCCCCCCTCTTCTCTTCAATCTCTACTGTATCTCGTCTTTACAGCTTTCTTATCTTGTCCCATTTGCACGTCCACACAAGCAGTTTTTTCCCCCAATCCCACCACTACTGGAACATGGATAGGCCCCGCACCAGACGCCCACTCCTTCCCACACCAACTCAACTACCAATGGAATGGCCACAGCTACGAAGCAGATTCCAACCACCACCAGGCTTCCACCAACCACCACCAGGCTTCCACCAACCACCACCAGGCTTCAACCGACCACCACCAGGATTCCACCAACCACCACCAGGCTTCAACCGACCACCACCAGGATTCCACCAACCACCACCCGGATTCCGCTACCAGCACCAACCAAGTCGACAACCAAACCAACCAAGTCGACAACCAAACCAACCAAGTCGACAACCAAACCAGCGCCAACCAAAACGACAACCAAACCAGCGCCAACCACCCCCAGAAAATGCAGGTGTCGTGAAAGCCTTCTTTCAGGTCCTCCAATGCCTCCACCACTTGACCATTATGGAGAGTCAGGAGAATGGAACACCAACCAGAAGTTTCACTTGGAAGATCCAAGACCTGAATAAGTTCGTGAAGCCGGCCATGAAGACGCCTACCATAGCCACTACCATTGAGACATTGAACTTGAAATGGGCCAAGGACGTCGCCTCATCCCTGTCGACACACTACCGAGCCATGCTAGCGGAGAAACTGGAGTACTTGAAGTCACGTCACTTTTCCAAAGATGCTGTACAAGAGTACTCTAGCCACGCCCTAGCATGGGCCAAGAAGTCCTACGGCAAGCGACTTCAGGATAGTGTGAAGACAGAGTTCCACCGCCTACTGTCCACGGTCTCTAAAACTGTCACACCCCCTCCCCCATCACCCATGCACATAACGCACAACCTTCTCCGGGACACACCAAAACGATACACACCCAACAAGAGAAAATTATCCCCTGGAGAAGGCACTTGCATTAACACTCCCTCGAAGCGTGCAGCTAGATCAACCAGTTCGCCCCGGGCTGTGTCTGGCTCACCTACTTCCTCGGGATCTATATCGCCACTAAACGCGCTTGTCGACTGTCTGTCCCCTAGATCGCCCATCATTCCTAACCCTAGAATCGCCACCAGATCTTCCACCAGATGTAGGCGATCACTCAACCTATCCCTAAAGAGACCTCACAGCTACAAAGGTAAAGACGAGAAGGATTTATGGTTCCTACCACCCGTCATGGCAAAGACCCTGGTTATTGGATCCTCTAACCTGGCTAGGATTGCATCCTTCGTCGGGGACTGGGAGATCCATAGCTACTCTGGAGCCAAGATCAGCCACATCAGACAGATAATCCAGAACTACATGGGTCCTGCACCAGAGGAATTAGTGATACACGTCGGGCTCAACAACAGGGAGGAAAGTGGACCAAGGATACACGAGCAGATGCTAGATCTACTCAAGGTGACCAGAGCAGCTTTCCCAACAACCAAGCTCTTCGCCACACAGATCCCCACTTCTTCCCGACTCCGACAAGAAAATCCGATCGCCTACCAAAACATCACCAGCTACAACCAACTGATCTCCACTGCACCCTCACCAAACGCCACCACATTACCAACCTTCAAGGGCAAAATAGAACTGAAAGGTAACGACGCAATCCACTGGAGCCCAGACACGGCCAGAGAGATCATCAACTGCTGGATGAGGAATTTAAACTAGGATTAGGGAAAAGGAATGAGAAGCCGTCTTTAGGACAGACAGTTGTCAATTTGAGCGACAGACTTCTCAACCCCCTAGAAATGAACATTCTTGATAAAGGCCTTAAATTCATCCCAACCCCCACAATAACATCCATAGACCCCATCACCCAGGCAACCGATCGCTTCCAAAGAACACTTTCGTTGACTTATTTTTTTAGGAACAAACCCGGCAGAGGTAAAAAATTATTCACAGTAAAATCCACATGGAAACCACCTAAAAAGTCATTATCACCAGCCATCCTAAAAACTTTCGACGAAATGAATATAGAAATATCATCCATTCAACCACAGTCACAAAAACCAAATCTCAACCGAGCAACTAAAACGGCATTAAACACCCTTAAAAAGGACAAAAACATAATAATTAAGAAAAGCGACAAAGGCTCGTGTTGTGTCATAATGAATCGTGCAGACTATATCTCAGAGGCAGAAAAACAATTAAGTAATCCTATACATTACACTAAATTAGACCAACCAATCTTTAAGGACACCGCAAATTTAATAAACAACATCTTATATGAATTGCAGGATAAGGAATACATAACAGCAAAACAATATGATTATCTATCTGCTAAATCTGACTGCCGACAAAGACATCTCTATACACTACCAAAAATACATAAAAATCCAGAATCAGAATGGTTTATACCTAATAAAATACCCAAGGGACGCCCAATAATATCAGACTGTGGCAGCGAATCATACAACGTATCACAATATATAGACCATTTCTTATTACCCCTAGCATGCCAACACCCATCCTACCTTAAAGACACTAACGATTTCATTCAGAAAATCAAACAGTTAAGAGTCCCCGAACACACCGTTTTAATATCAATCGACGTACAAAGCATGTACACGAACATTGATAATAACATAGGTATTGAAGCAGTTAGGAAAGCATTTC